AAATGAGCTGATGCCAAGGGCTTAAGTGGAGAGCAAATGTTTTGAGAATGATGAAGGCAAGGAATGTACAATTGTGCTTTACACAATTGATGTATGTGTGGATTGTGATAAGAGTTCTATGAGCCCCCAATAAAATGATTTCTAAAAATAGATTCCTTTTCTCTAAGCCAAGGATCAGGTAGAATTTGAACTTACCCTTGCCTCTGTAGGTCCTTCTCCGGTCTTCCTTATCCATTTGGAATACCAACCCTTTTCCTACAAGGGGAGCAAGGGGACACTTAGATTTTTCTTTAGCACCTTACATTTTTGCACAGTTCATCTCAGGAGAGACGCCTTGTCCAATGCAGAGTATTATGAGTAATCCTTTCAAATGCCTAGTATGTTTACCCGAATCTCACGAAACATTACTTACTTACCACTAGCAGCCATAGCAGCCTTAACAGCCTTGGTGGCATAGTGGTTAAGCACTTGGTTGCAAGCCAAAAGGCTTTTCTCAGCCACTCAGAGGGAGAGATTTGGCTCCTGTATAGATTCTACCCACAGCCACCGATCCGACTCCAAGTCAGAGCAAGGCTGTAGTAGCTCATCTTTCTCCAACTCAGTAGCTGGTGGGTTTGAACCACTGACCTTGAAGTTGTTAATAGTTAATGCCTAACCCACACTGCCACCAACTCTTTCACATAAGATCACTCTGTAATATTCATGCACTGACTCTACAGCATACAACACGAAGGCCATACATGATACTGAGCACTTTATGTGTTTTAAATTAATTTCGGAAGAACTTGCCTCAGGTAGGTGGGACCAATGATGATTTTCTAGCCTTCATAGAGATTAATTCAGTGTCACTGAAATGAAATGAAATCTTTCATGAAAACACCCATAGCCAAGAGAAGGGAGTTCAGTTACCACAAATACTATAGTGGTCTTTAGCATAATTTCTATTCAGTAGTCATTTTTCTGACTGAACCCTGGTGGCATAGTGGTTACACATTGGGCTGCAATCTAAATTGTCAGCAGTTCAAAACCACCAGCCACTCCACAGGAAAAAGATGGGGCATTCTACGCCTGTAAAGAGTTGCAGTCTCAGAAACCCACAGGGGCAGTTCTACCCTGACCTGTAGGGTCGCTGTGAGTTGGCATTGACTTGATGGCAGTGAGTTTGGTTTTTGGTTTGGAATCATTTTTTCTAAACTTCCCGTCATGGTCCCATGACAATGTAAACAATGGGTACACTGCAATGGAAAATCCATAACCCAAGCCACTCCAGAGTCTACATTTTATTTTGGAAAAGTAATAAAGAAATCAGACAAGTGGCCCAAATAAAATAAAGCACTAAGCCTCAAGGTAAATTTAATACTAGGCAATTCCTGCCTATCACCACTATACCGTCTCAAAAAACACATCATAAATTCTCTCATCAAAGCAATTCTGAATCTGCTAGTCTGCATCCAAGTGGCAAGAGAACACTTATAAACTAAAACTAGTGGAATAAGCACAACAGAGTTCTCCAATAGGAAGTGGAAGCATTCATGCTTGTCCACATTGGTCTGAGCTGACTATTGATCTCCAAAACATTACAGCTTTCTCATAAGTTTGCTGACATTTTATTGATTTAAATATTTATCCCTGAACATGCTATAAACACAAAATGATGCTGAAAGGTTTGGACTAATAGTTCTCTGATTCTTTTCCTCCATGGCACACCCTCCCATCCCAATCCCAAAGCAATGAATTTAATTCTTCCATCTTCTAAGTAATATACCCAGTCTCCTGCTCTTGACTCAACATGAGACATTACTGGCTGACACCTCAATGTGTTACATGGGAGTCTTCAACCTCCATACTTTTCCCTTCCTCTGTCTTTACAATGTAGTTGTTTCACATTTTTTCTTTATGCATATTCCCTGTTTTTACTTTTATTACTTTGTATATAATGCTTACTGGAGCCATTTGTTGAGAGTTCATTTTCTTTCTATTATAACTTTTCTATTTTCTGGAAGTTAATGATTGCCCTGTTTTAGTTTGGGTTGGTTTTGCTTTCCTTTTCGCGGAGTCAGTAGTGAATCTTCGTTCATAAGGAGCCCTCGTGGTAAGGGTTGGACTGCTGACCTCAGAGCCAGCAGCTGAAAACCATCAGTTCCTCTGCAAAGAAAGATGAGCCTCTCTGCTCTGGAAAGATTCACAGCCTTTGAAACCCACAGGGGTGTTGTTTCTCTGCCATGCTGAGTCACCATGAGTTGGAATCAGTATGTCATTTGTCTCTTGACTGCAACTTCCACGAGCATTGATTGTGGATATAAGTAACATGAAATACTTGGTAACTTGAGGATTCTCCATGTATCATGATTTTATCTGTTGGTCCATTTGTGCGGTTATTGGTTTTCTTTACCGTGAGTTGTGATCCATACTGAAGGCTGCAGTCCTTGATCCTCGTTATCAGCCAGTGCTGCAAGTCATCCTCACCTTCAGCAAGCAGGTGTGTCATCTGCACAGCAAAGGTTGCTAATAAGCCTTCCTCCAATCCAGTTGCCTCATTCTCCTTCATATAATCCAGCTTCTCTGATTATTTCCTTGATATACAGAGTGAATGAGTATTGTGAAAGGATACAACCCTCACCTATATCTATCCTGCTTTTAAGCCATGCAGTATGGTTTAACACTTTAAAACGTCCCCATGTTCTGTTCACACTCTACCTCTTGATCCGTGTATAAGTTCCTCATGAACACAATGATATGTCCTGGAATTCCCATTCTTAATGTTATCCATATGATACATACAGTCAAATGCTTTCGCATAATCGATAAACCATAAATAAACATTTCTGATTCCCTGATTTGATCCAAGACCTAGCTGACATCAATAGTGATAGCCTGGGTTTCACATCCTCTTCTAAACCTAGTGTGAACTTCTGGTGACTCCTTATCAATGCACTGATGCAAAGTTTTACTTGTATGTGATATTAATGATATTGTTCTATAATTTCAGTATTTTTGCAGGTGGCCTTTCTTTGGAATAGCTTCATAGCTTCAAAAATTAATTTCTTCCAGTTGGTTGGTCAGGTACCTGAACTTCACATTTCTTGTTGTAAACTAGTGAGTACTTCCTGTGTTTCATTGGCTTGTTGAGTTATTTCAGTTAATATTTCATCAATTCTTTTTTTTAATGTGGAACGCTTCACGACTTTGCATGTCATCCTTGCGCAGGGGCCATGTTAATCCTCTCTATCGTTCCAATTTTAGTAGATGTGCTGCCGAAGCGAGCACTAGTTCA